GTCGAAGAAGTCGTGCCTATCTTCATAGTCGTGACCTCCATGGGGCGCGTAAGCAGAAATAAGGTTGAGAACACCGCCTTTCACCCTAATCTGCAAAATCGCGAGCCTATCTGAAATAAGCTTATAATTGATGATCGACTTGGTGGCCCAAGGTGCAATTAGAAATCCCACTCCGGAGTAAAATCGCCCTTCTCCTGGTGGCTCTGAAGCGCTCACCAGAAATGATCGGAGGTTGGGGGGTAAGATCGAAGTGGAACGGAGAGCCCCCCTACCGGGAAATCAATTTCGGTTTCCTGTTCGTGCGTGCCGTGCGTGCGGGCGAGGCGAAGCTGCGTGGGCGGGCGAGAGGAAAGTCTCCTGTGGCTGAGGCGCGGCCGGACCAAATGTTTCGCGACCCAGCGTTCGGGGCCGCGCGGTGTCCCGCCGGTGTCCCGCTGGTGTCCCGGTAAGTCTTCTGTGGCTGAGGTGCGGCCGGACCAAATGCTTCCCGACCGGCAAACGGGGCCGCGCGGTGTCCCGCCGGTGTCCCGCCGGTGTCCCGCTGGTGTCCCGGTGTCCCGCTGGTGCGAAAACGATAGTGAGACCGATAGTGAGATCGATTGTGAGATCGATTTGAAATCGATAGTGAGATCGACAGTGATATTCGAGTGAGATCGATGGTGAGATCGATTGTGGGATCGATAGTGAGAGAGATAGTGGGATCTATGGTGAGATCGATTGAATAAGATCGATAGTGAGATCGATCGAGTGAGATCGATAGAGAGATCGATAGTGAGATCGATAGTGAGATCGATGGAGTGATATCGATAGTGAGATCGATAGTGGGATCGAAAACGAGATCGAGAGTGAGATCGACAGTGAAGTCGATCGAGTGAGACCGATAGTGAGATGGATCGAGTAAGATCGATAGTAAGGTCGATAGTGAGATCGATCGTGGGATCGATAGTGAGACCGATAGTGAGATGCAAATCGAAATGCAGATCGAAATGCAGATCGAAAAGCAAATCGACATGCACATCGATAAGCAGATGCAAATGCAAATCGTCAGTCATATCGACACCCCGTGCTGTATGCTCTGCCAAGAGCGAGCGGCAACGCAACAATCTCTGAGCACCAAGGCTCCCAGTACGAACGTTGGCGGAACAGGCTCTCAAGGATCGCTCCAAGAAGCTCCCAGGAGGCCCCAAGAGGCCCCCAAGAAGCCCAGAAAGGCTCCCAAGAGGCCTCCAAGTTCCAAGAGGCCCCCCAAGAGGCCACCAAGAGCCCCACAAGGGGTCCAAAAGACGAGCCCAAACGGCCCCCCAAGCCCTTGCAAAATAATCGAAATAACTTATTATTTCATTAGTTCCCGGGGGGGGGACTGGTACCAAGGCGCCCAAGAGCAAAGGGTGACGTAAACAACTCGACACCAAGGCTCCCAAGAGCGAGCGGCAACCCAACAATCTCCACTGGCATCGTCAGAACAACAATCACCATTGTTGCCCATTGCTGGCCCCCTTCCCCCCCCAACCTCCTTATCACCCGCAGGGTGGTCGTATAGGTAGTAGGCATATAACCATTATCAAGAAGCTGTGTGTGTGTGTGTTTGTGCTGATCCCAGTTTCTTGCATGCACAATGTCGCAATTGTGTGTTATTCCATGTAGTATTGCAGTTCTGCCACTTTCGCCATGTCCTTGCCCATACCTTCTACATTCCAGCTCTCGAACAGCTGCTTGTAGAGCGGCGCATTTGTATTTGCATCTGTGCCCTTTCCATGCTTCCTTCCTTCTCGAGGTACACAGTGCATTGAGTGAATGGTATTTTTGCCCGTTCCCACGGGTGAGACAGAAGAACAATGACGTTGACGTGGTAGGTTGGCATCTGTGTCCGTATCCTAACCAACATCCATATTGGCATAAGTCACGTTCATTTTGAAAAGCGGATGATGTCGACGTGGAGTCTGAATTAGCGGCGTTCTTGCAACAAGATTCGTGCTACGAGGCTCGCTTGCCCGCCATATTTCTTATTTCCAAGCGCTTCCTTTCGAGGTTCCTTTGGCTCCATCTTTCATCCCTATTGACATCCTCTCCAGTATGGCGTCGCATTTTTGCAATAACTCCAAACATTTCGGGTTGGCTTGCAATTCGGCCTATTCTGCCCAATCCTTCTCCCAGATGCGCTCGATGCAATTACCAACAATATTTACGGTAAGAGCTAAATGTCCACCGACTTCAACAGTATAGGGCGTTTCGTCGGAAACTCTGATTTTGTATGGGTTGTTCATGTCTTGTGCCAGTATGTACTTCAAACCAAAACAAAGATTGCGTGCCGCCCTCACGGCTGGATCCCTGTCCTGCGTACATCAGACAGTGTGTGCGCCTCGCTGGAGTTTGGCACAGCGTAGTTGCGCCACCGCCGTATCCCTTTCGAGCATCGTCTGAAATTTGGCGACAAGGATGATCTTGAAATCGCTTTTCGAATCTATGTTTGTAGGGATTGGCCCGTCCATTTTGCTCAACATTTTCCGAATATAATCAGAAGCGGCACCAAGATAATCAAATCCTTACAAATTCCCTATCACCGCTGTGGCCGCGCGCTTCCCGTAGCAGTGGTACTGGTCAGCCGTGTTATGTGAAACATTGGATGTTGCCGAATTCGCAAGGTTGCCATTGTAGCGGTAGTTGTTCGCAGAGTTGTGCGATATCCCGGAAGCCAATCGCGGAATACAAGATGCTATATGTTCTTGGTTTTGCGTGATTTTGTCGAAGCGTTCGTTCATGCAGTTCTCCAAATTGGTAACGTGTATTTGTACATTTTCGATATCTTGCTCGAAATTCGTAGTTGTTTCTTCGATTGAGGTTTTGAGTGGCTCTGTGGCTTCTTGCAGGTCCCGCTGAGACACTCCATAAAGCTTAATAGCAGCAATATCTTGTTGGATGGGTCGTAGGTGTTCTGCAATGAGAGTGCCGATAGCTGACAAAGTGATTGGACCATATGTATGCTTCCTTTTGCCTTTATCTTGCCCATCCGCGCCAGCTGCGGCCGCGATGTTCATGTCGAATCGTTGCTGGTGTGCGCCTGGGGGGTCGTCTCCAGAAGTCACTGCATCCACAGTTGGTTGTGGTGATCCTGTTGCTTCTGCGTGTTCCACGTCGAGCACGTCCATCTCGTTCAGCGGGCTCTTGACACGAGCAGCTTTTGCTGCAGGTTGAACCGGTGATTTAGAAGAGAACGGTGAAGCGATATCATGCTTCTCCACCTTGAACAACTGCTTGACAGGGGTACCTGAAGAAGGCATGGGTGTGGCGTCGAAATGTAAGGAATCCAAGTGTGGAGGATACGCGAAAGGACATGGAAATGGAATGGTGCAGTCGGAAACCAGGGAATGTAGGAGGATCGGATGTATCGGCCCTTGAGCCTTTAAATCTTTGAGCCACTTCCTTGAGCCAAGAGCCACTTGAGCCAAACGTGCCCCTCCATCTGTGTAATTGTCGGAAGCTTTTACGGCGAACAGGCGCGGCGCTAAGGCAAGATTTAAGTTGTGAAGACGTCCCCCATTTCTATCCGTGTAGTGGTTGCAAGCAGCGTTTGAGACGAATGCGCCTTGCGCAAAGATGAGGGCCCCATTTTGAAAACGACCGCCCCTCTATCCTGTTTTTCGAGCGAATGTGCGCGGCGCTATGACGAGAGCTCCATTCCGAAAACTAACTGTGTCCCACCCGATTAGTCAACGGTTACAACTATCAAGCTTCAACGTCTTAAGTGGTGAGGAAGGTCCCAGGCGAACCGCCTGGCCCCCCCTACCAACACGTCAGGGGGGGCGACAGGGGGTAGTTGCCTATAGGGAAGAGGTATGGAGGAGGAGGGGGAGGACGAGGAGGAGGACGAGGAGGAGGACGGACGACGACGACGACGAAGATGCGATGGCGCCCAAGGCTCGCAACATAACAGGGGTCAGAAGACCTGCCGTGAACACCGAAGGCGTGGGGCGGACAGGTCCTGCACCCCCTAGAGCCTTTTCTGGCTTGATGACAGGGCCAGCAGGACGGAAGGTTGGGAGGGGAGGAGGGAGGCGCCCAGTCCCCGTCCTCCTCGGCAGCGGCACGAAGGACGGTGGGAGAGGGGGAGGAGGAGGAGGAGGAGGAGGAGGAGGAGGAGAAGGACGGGGGAGAGGAGGGGGAGGAGGAGGAGGAGGAGGAGGAGGAGGAGGAGGAGGAGGAGGAGGAGGAGGAGAGAAGGAGGAGGAGGAGGACGAGGAGGAGGACGAGGAGGAGCAGGGGTAGGAGGAGGAGGACGAGGAGGAGGAGGAGAAGGAGGAGGAGGAGGAGGACGAGGAGGAGGACGAGGAGGGGCAGGAGTAGTAGGAGGAGGAGGAGGCGGAGGAGGAGCAGGAGGAGGAGGAGGGGGACAGTCCACATCGTCCCCTCGGCACTACGGTCGATTCGTGGTGCTCCTACATCGGGCGGGAGCACACGGGGCACGCACGATGGCACCTCATCGCGGGTGCGTCGGCGAAACTCAATGCGGCGAGGATTGGAACTTGACCTTTCCATCCCGACGTTGCCGATGAGCCGTTGACGTATCGGCGATGCGGTGCGATCTTGTGGCCTCGCACAGGAGGCCTCCATGCGCACACCAACCCTGGCCTCCTTTCTGTCCCTTATCTTCTCTAGTACCCCTGAGAAGGCGGGTTTCCAGGAAGAGAGGGGGATGATGGGGAGGAGCAGGATGAGATCAGAGGAAGGGAATGAAGGAGGGCATGGACGAGAACGGGAGAGGAGCACGAGCGGAGCAGGACAGCGTGGAAGGATGAAGAGAAGACGGAGACCATAGGGAGAGGGAGCCCCGAGGAGAATGAGGAGGAGGAGGTGGACGAGGAGGAGGAGGATGAGGAGGACGGTTCGAAGGGCAGGAGCAGGAGGAGACGCAGAAGGAGGAAGAGGAGGACATGGCAGGATTCGGTGGTTCTCTCACTGACTGGGCTCGTCGTAATTCGCTGTACTGTCAGCTGATCTGCAAGGCCGGGTCGAGAGCGAGTTCGACAATCGCGTCAGGCGCAACGAGGTATTTCAGGAGTGCGCGAGTGGGTGCGACGGGGCCCAGGCAAAGTTCAAGGAGTTTGCGGGCCCCTCTTCCTCCCCCGTCGTCCATTCATGCTCCTGCCCTGTCTTTTCCGCCTCGTCGTGCTTCTGCCCCCACTGTTCCTCCTGCTCCTGGTCCCCTCCTCGTCAGTGTGGCTCTTCTACTCCTCCTGCTCCTTCCCCTCCTCACCCTCGCCCTCCTCTTCCTCGTTCCTGCTCCTTCTGCTCATCGTGCTCCTCGCTCTGCTCCCGTGCTCCTCTTGCCTCTCCTGCCCGTGTTTATCCTCATCTTGGTTCTCCAACTACTGTCCCTCCCTGCCCTCACTCTCCCCTTCCTTCTCCTGGAGAAGGAAGAGGTGGTCACTCGCGCAGTGGTCAAGCTCGGATCCTCAAGGACCTTGAGCAGCGAGCGCTCTTGGCGAAGATGAAGTCATGGACAACGAGCGACTTCGTGGCCATTCGCACGCTGGGGCAGGGCTCCTTTGGAAAGGTGTTCCTCGTCAGGCAGGCAGGCGTGGCCGTGGCAGATCCCCCACTGTACGCCCTGAAGCAGATGAAGAAGGAGGGGTACACGAAGAAAAACAATGTCGACCGGGCGTTCTGCGAGCGCGAGGTCTTGGCACAGGCTAAGAGCAGGTGGTTTGTGGAGCTCATTGCGACTTTCCAGGATGCTGCCAACGTGTACATGGTTATGGAGTTCGTTCAGGGGGGAGATACATGCCGCTTCGCGGGGGACGCGACTACAGGAGCTCCGTCCTCTTCTCTTTTTTCCTTCTCTTCCTCTCGCCGCGTTTCCCCTTCTCCTCGTTCTACTACCCCCTTCTGGTACTGGATCCTCAATTCCTCGTTGCCGTCCTTGTTCACGGGGGGGTCTCCTGACACGCGCCACAGCCGCCGACCCCTCGGGGCAGGGAAGCTGCCCGCTTGAGGGGGGCAGGCACGGGAGCCCCCCGCCGCACCCGCCTCGAGTTGCAGTGTCTGGGCCTGGTGGCGGGGGGGGGGGGGCCCTGGGGTCGGGCGCTGCGTCATCGTGGAGGCCATCAATGCCAGGGGGGTGAAGAGAGGTGCACCCGGTGAGCCCGACGTGAGCCCCCTGGGGCCCGAGAGGGGCACGGAGGGTGCGCGTTTCTCCCCCCCCCCCCCCATTCTCGGACCCCCGACGTCAGGATTTTTCAGAACGTCGAGCCCCACAGGTCTCGACCCATTCCCGGGGACGGGCTTTTCATCCCGAGTCGTTTCTTGACGGTCCAGAGGCCCGGCGAGGGCCCTGAAGCCGACAATAGCGAGAAATCTTCCGTCGTGTTTTTTGTCATGCCTCGAGGGGCTCTGGGTTCATCGCCCTCCCTCCATTCAGCAACGCCCGCCGGGGGTGGCCGCAGCGAGAGGTCGGCCGCTCGAGGGGGGGGGGTCTCGTCGTCGACGAGTCGGAGGGTGTGCCCCCACGGCCCCCGGCGGTGGCCGGCGGCGGAGAGCCCGGGGGAGCTCGGCGGCGGCGGGCGGAAGAGGGGCGGTCGGATTGCAGCGGGGACGCGCATGCAGGAAGCCAGGTGCGGCTCGGTGTGGAGTCCGATGTTCTCCACGCCGACGGCACCAATGCACAGCCGACGACGCCCATGCATCGCCGCGTGATTCCCCGTGACGCTTCGCCAGAGTGACCTTGAGTGCGGGCTCATCGGGCGATGCGATAGCGGCTGCCTGCGCGCTTGCACTTGGCCAATTTTTTCCGCGCACCCTAGGTCACTCCTGCCTATGGTCAATTTTGCGTGTAGCCGATCGAGGGTGTTCGCAGTTCGGTCGGACTAAGATCCTGATCAAGGGCCGATCCAGTGCGAGGAGTTGCACCCAGGAGGCGAAAGAGGGCCCGATCAAGGGCCTCCTGCAGCGGCGACGATCTAGGCCTCCCAGATGAGGTTGGAGTAGATGGAGTCGGAGGATCGCCCCCAAACCCAGACCCCCTCGAGTCATGAACAAATTACGACGGAAGGGCCGCCAACATCTTGATTAGGATAGGCTTCCGTGAAAGGCAGCGTAGAACATTGCGTTGGCTAGGGCCACCACGAGGGTGCGGAGTTAGTTAAGCTTTGCGGTCTGGGCGGTTTCAGAGGGAGGTGCGAGTCCCTCATTCTGTTCGGGGAGGCGCTTCGCGAAAGCGCGAAGATAGTTGCCCTAGGAAGGGTGTTCGCGGTTCGGTCGGTTCGGTTACGTCGCTGTCGGTTGCGTTCGGTCTGTTCGATTCGGTTTGGTCGGTTGTTGTCGTTGCTGCATCGTTGCGTCCTTCTTCTAGGTTGCTGTCGGCCTGTCGATTTCGGTCGGTTCCGGTTTCGCTGTCGGTTCGGTCGGTTTTTGGTTTTGCTTTCGCCGTGCTCGGCCTTGCCAGTGCGGCTCGATGAGGAGCCAGTTTTCTCAACGCCGGCGTCGCCGATGCATCGAGGCGTCGCCGGTGCATCGCCGATGCATCGCAGATGCATTGCCGAAGCGTCGGTGATGCATCGACGATGTGGCGCGATTCTCCGACCCCATCGATTCCGACACCAGCCGGAGGAGAGCCGGGGGGAGCTCGGCGGCAGAGGGCGGCGAGGGCGAGGGCTCATTTCGACTCCGAGTCGATCCCACTTGATTTCTTTCGATTCCGATTCGATTCGGCTTCGGATTCCGATTTGAGCTTCGGTCTCTCATTTGCTTGCCGATGTCCGCCGATTCGAGATCTCCATTTTGGCAGGGATCGATGTCGGCTGGGCCGGCTTGGGGTCTGAGGTGGCCCAGCACTGGTTCTGGCCAGCAGGAAGCGGGGGTGGCAGCTTCGAGGTTCTGGGTTCGAGACAGTTTTCTGCATTTTTCGGTCTTCGGGGACCGCCTTCGGGCCCGGGAACGTCAGAAACGGATCAGCGGCGAGACAAGTTGCAGAGATGGGCCCCGGGAGGGGTTAGGGGAACGATTTCGAACAGATTTGGCTTCGTCCAACCTTCCTCACTGATTTTCTCGGGGTCCCATCTGGTTCAAACCTCCTGGCCGCCTCCAGTATGTCGGCGTCGTCAGGAATCCATCCATGGCTCACGCGCCTGGTGGTCCGAACCGTGCTGGCCGATCTGTTTTACCACATGGACAAGAAGACGCGGTTCTCGGTGGCCGGGAGAGGCAAGGGTGCCCCCACGTCCTCCTCTTCCTCCTTCTCCTCCTCCTCCTCCTCCTCCTCCTCCTCCTCCTCCTCCCTCGTCCTCCCTCGTCCTCCTCCTCCTCCTCCTCCTCCTCCTCCCTCGCCCTCGCAATCCTCCTCGTCATCCTTTCCTCCCTCCCCCACCCCGCGCCGCCCCCCCTCCCCTCTTCCACCTCCTCCCCCTGTTCTTTCTTTCTCTTCTGTTCGTCGTCTGGCTGCTCCTCCGCACTCTTCCTCCTCTCCCTCCTGCCTCCCTCCCTCCTCTTTTATCTAATCTCCTTCATCCACCCTCATCTCTCATCCCTGCTCCCTCGCCCCTCACTCATTATTCCTCATCCTTTCCTCACCGGTCCTCTCTCCAGCCTTCTTTCCTTCATCGTTTCCCGTTTTACCCTTTCCTCTTGTCCTTCTGTCCTCCTTCATCCTCTTTCCTGTTCTTTCCTGTTCTTTTCCTGTTCTTTCCTTTGTCATCCCTCATATTTCCTCCCCAATCCTCTCATTCGTCCTTACTCATTCCTTTCCCCTCGTCCCTCCTTCACCCTTCCTCGTTCGTCCCTTTCGTCGTCCTCTGCCCTATTGTCCTCCTTGCCTCCGTATTGTTTCCCTCCCTACTCGGCCTCCTTGTAGACCAGATGCGGTTGCACAGAGTCAAAATGGATACAGGACAGGGCCGTTGCAGAATGGGGGCAACCAGACGGACGGGCGGAAGACCCATGACTGGAGGTGGGAGCATCGCATCCACGTGAATACCATACAGGGTAGCCAGAAGGACGGGCGCAAGATCCGTGACTGGAGGTGGGAGCACCGCCTGCGTATTTTCCCGTGCGGCGATCTGGCAGGCCACAGTTGTCAGCTACAGTTGTGAACATTGATAGCCAGGATGATCGGTTTCCCAAGGGTACCCTTGCATCCTTGCCTCTTCGGTCATCTTCGGTCTATCCTGAACCACTTTCGATGGCCAGCCCTGCTCGAACAGCCTCGGAATGGGCGTCCAGGGCCCTCACATCCTTATCGCGCATCCTCACTATCAGTTTTGACGGTATGCGCCACAGGCTGCATGGCGACTGGCAGGCTGCATTTTGGCAGTTTCATTAGCAGGGAAGGCAATGCCTTGTTACATTCTGGTTCAAGAGGAGTGCGCCAGTACGCCGACCCCGAGAAGAGCAGAGGAGGTAATGGAGCTCGGCAATCTGAGAGAATAGCTGCAATAGCCCCATGCGGCGGGGTTCGAGGGACCCTGGAGTTGTGGAACGAGAAACTGCATTAGTCATCTGCAGGATTGCCTTTGGACAGCGGGGGGGCTTGTGGATGTGTTTGGAATGTTGCATCGTCTGACCAGGGAGTCTCTGTAGTCGTGCAACGCAATGCAAAGCTGAGCATGAACTCGACGACGACCAAGACCACGACCACGACCACGACTACGACCACGACCACGACCATGACCGCGGCCACGGCCATGGCCACGGCCACGACCTCGACCACGATCACGACCACGACGACCACGGCGGCGACGAAAATCATTCAATAATTGAGGGAGCATCGCTGATTTTGCTCTCTTGGGGTTCTCTTGGGAATGCTTCTGGAGCTCTCTTGGGCCTCATGGGGGCCTTGTGGGCGCCTCTTGGGGCCTCCTGGGAGCCTCTTGGGGCGGAAGGCTCGAAATGTCGTTTGGTCATTCCCCTTTCGGGAGCCTCTTGGGGCCCTCTTCGCCCGTTTTGGGGGGCCTCTTGGTCCGTATTGGGGCTATCTTGGGCCGTTTTGTGTTTGTCTTGGCTAGTTTGGGGGCGTTGTCGGCAGCCTGTTGTGCCGTGCTGGGGGCGATTTTGTGAGATTCTTGGCCGCCTTGGGGCGTCGGAAGCCCAGAAAGGCGAGGACGGGAACAACATTGAAACATAGTGAAAATCAATCATTATTGTGTGGTTTGCCTATTACTAGTTTTCTCCATTCGCCCTCCATCCTCATCTAGTTTCGTCGTCCTCCTTCGCCCTCTCATGTTGTCCCTGCTTCCTGGCTCCTCCTCCTCTTCCTCGTCCTCCTCCTCCACATCTTCCTCTCATCCATGGCGCCTACTCCTCCCCCCTTTCCATCCCTGTTCCATCCCCCCATTTCTCCATCCCTTCCTACTCCCCAGCCCCTGCTCTTGTCCCTCCTCCACTTCCTGCTCCTCTTCCTTATCCTCCTTTACCCTCCTCCCTCCCTCCTACAGTCGTCCGCCGCCGTCGTCGTTGTGTCGGCGCCGCCTTCTTCCTCTGCCTGCACCCCGCGCCTTCACGAGGCGCCCGTGTGGCCACTCCGGAAATCCAGGAGTCCATCTCTTACCTCCCCCCTCTTGCCCCCTCTCCTCCCCTCGTCGTCGCAATCCCCCATCCTCCGGGAGCTTTACGCTCGTGAATGATACAGGGATCCAAAGTGCATCCTGGGCTCTGGTCCAACGGCCGTGCTCTCGTATGGCCGTCCTTTTGGACCTCGACCCCCTCCTCCCGCCTCCTTCCCTGGCCTCCTCGCCTTGTCCCCCCCCCCCTCCCTTGCTTCCGAGGGAGGCGGGCCCGGAGCCTTTGCGGGCCAGACCTCCCCAGGTGGCCGAGACCCGCTTCTACATGGCCGAACTCTTGGAGGCGCTGGACATCGTCCACCGCTCCGGCTTCGTACACCGAGACATCAAGCCGGACAACAGCTCGGGTGCTGCCAAAGGAGACTCTGGCCCGTGGTTTCCCCCCTTCGGGAGAGGAGGAGGAGGTACCAATACCGCTACCCTTGCCTCGTCGCCACGGTTGGATTCGCCTCGAAATCCAGGTCAGAACGTACCCGCTGGAGAGGCCTGGGGAGTCGTGGTACGTATCGGTACCTTGTCGTCCCTCCACCCGGGTTTAATCGTTCCAGAGCTTGCTGGAACACTCTCAGAGCCTTCTGGAGCACTCTGGGACGACCGCGGTGCTTGATGCATCCTCCAGGACCGCTGGATCTCAGAGATCCCCGATTTGTCTGGGTCCGATTTCGTCCCAGTCCCGGCCTCGTCTTTCCCTATGGCCTCAGGGTTTCCAGAATGGGGCGAAAAGCTGGGGGCACCGTGGTCAGGACGCAGCAAAGAACCACAACCACAATTAAGAAGATTTTTCTGGAAGGCCCCTCGGGGGAGAACCTACCGACCTCGACATGAAAATGTTCGTTGTGGTTGTGGTCGATTTGGCCGTCTAGGACGCCCCCATCGACCGCAACCCGTGCTAAGTTAGTTTCGGTGTTCTGACCACTGCTGGCATGCGCAAAACATCTCCCAGCGTGCGTCCTACATGTGGTTGTGGTCGCCTGCTGCCCCCGCAAGCTTGGGCCAGGGACACTTCTGGCAACCCCCGAAGCATGGTCCTTACCGCGCAGGGCCACCTGAAGTTGCTGGACTTCGGTCTGGCCAGGTACAGGGTCGACGGCGAGGAAGTCGGGGACCCCAGGTCTCGCCGCCAGGGTTGGAGTCGGCTGGGGGTCTGCGGTGGGTCAGCATTGGTACCAGCGAGCAGGAAGGGGGGGAGAAGTTCGAGGCTCTGGGTTCGGTAAGGTTTTATTGGCTTTTTTCAGCCTCTGGGGCCGTTTTCGGGTTCTGGGATTGTCAAAACGGGATCCGGGGTGAAAAATTGCACCAGATGGGTCCAGAGAACGATTTTGAGCGGACTTGGCCTCATCCCCCCTTCTTGGCCGATTCTCTTGGGGCCCAACCAGCTCAGACATCCCGGCCGCCTCCAACGCCAGGGAACCTCAAGTAGGCCAGACTGAGCCTCTCGCCTGGGACTTCCTTAAAATTATTTCGGGAAGGCATCACGGCCAGTGCCACCGACCCTGAAGGTGGACGACGGCGGCGACGACGACGATGACGACGCTGACGCTCTGGGGCCCTTCTTGGGGCTCTGTTGGGAACCTGCTGGGATCCGTTGGGGGGCCTCTTGGGGCACTTCTTGGTAAGCTCCGTGGCCACTTGGAGCCGCCTCGGAGCAGCTCTGAGGCCATGTGGAGTGGAGGCATGTAGGAAAACACAATGCGCCCCGCAACAGCAGACAGGAGTGAGGAGGGTGCCTCTGTCCACGGGGGGGAGGCGGGGGGAGGGGTCTCGAGTTCCCCGTTGTCCACGAGAGAACCACCCTCCCGTCCCCTTTGTCCAAAGGGGGCACCCCCCTGGGGGGAGGCCACGACCCCCCCCGGGACCCTCCCTGGGCCCCCCCCCCCCCAGGCTCTTCCCGGGACACTCCCGCGACACTTCCTGGGACCCCCGCCGCTACACATCCCTGTTCTGCCCCCCTTCCCGCCATGGAAGGGTCAAAGGAAAGGAGCGTCCCTTCGAATCAGTTACGATGTTGTTTGATTTCCGTCTGGCTGGATCGCTTGAGGAAGAGGGCCGAGGGAAAGGAGGGCGGCGGCGACGGCGACGACGACTCAAACGGAAAAACGTCTCTCACATGCCGATCAAAATTCCAATGAATAAAGAGATGGAAGGCTGGCAGTTTTCAGCAACCTCTGGCAGCCTCACGGATGCAGGCAGATGCTTGTTTTAATGCGGTAATTGTTTGGGCGCCATGTATGACATCCACGAAGGCCGGTTTGTTACCGAGATGCGGCTTTCGCTTGCGATATCTTGAAATCATAAGACCCGGAGGTCCACACTGCTCAACAGCTATGCGGATGGAGGGCAGCCGCCCCTGCTCAAAACGGGGATCTCGCATGAAATGTCCGCAAATAGTGCCACACGTTGGAGCTCGTGCGGCGCTGACAATGGTGGGGGCAGACACTGTTCAAAGCCGTGTTATCGTTGGACACCTCCTTGAAGTTTGTTTGGAATCCACTGCCCCTCTGTTTTTAGGCAGTTGTATAGGAAGGGATACAGAGGACAGAATGCTTACACAGTTTGGAGGAATTCGTGAATTCAGTATGGGTCGAGCTTGGAGTGCCTCGAAGAAAGCACGCGCACCCGAATCGCAAGCATACGGCTATATGCGGACCCAGGACAGTTTGCTTCCCGTCGTCGTCCTCGCCCTTGCTCCGTTCCCGTTCCTTTCTTCCGCCCCCTGGGTGGTGTCAAAAGCGTAGGGTAACTCTCGGTTGGAGGTGGGAGGTAACCTTTTTGTGCCTCCCACCTCTTGGCACTTCTTCCCGCGAGAACGATGGATGGGGGGATCCTCTACCGCAACGGGGTCTCGCCTGAGGTCTCGCTTGGGGGACAGGCCCACCGGGCGCTCGTCGTTCCAGGGGGTGCTTCCCGCAGTGTGACGACAGATCGAGGACGCCTGCTGCGGATCACCGCCGCCCCCGCAGTCTCGGAGAGGGTGACGTGGCCGAAGATTGGGCCAAAGTCTTGTCAAACTATCGGACGTTTTGGCTCCCCAGCCACTGTGGAAGCCCGTGGGGAAACATTCGGGAAAGGATGAGGGAGAGGAGGAAGAGAGGGAGGAGAACGAGCAGGAGGATGAGGAGCAGGAGGAGCAGGAGGAGAGGGAGGAGGGTCAGGAGGAAGGAGAGGCCTCTTGGGGCTCTCTTCTGGCCTCCTGGGGCCTCTTGGGGGCCTCTTCGAGGCTTCTACTATGCCAGTACCCCCATGCAGCGTGGACTCACGAGCCAGTGTAAAGGCCAGAGTGTGATCACATGCGGATCAGCTCTCACTGTGCGCAAGCGCTTGCGTGACGGGTTTCACCCGTCGCCCTTCCTTCGTGTCTCTCTGGAGTCTTCGAGGTCCCCGTCTGTGGCGACCAGGGGTCGGTTCTTTCGGCATTTCGGGGTGCACCTGATGGGGCCTCACGGGGGGACCATGACTACGCGGGTGGTCCGTTATCGAAGCAGGCCGTCGCCCCCCGTCTGGCAATTCCGTGTATTCTGCTCGCTTTTGGCCTCCGCTCCCGCGAGGAGGCGGAGGCGCTCGGCCGTCAAGCGCTGACGGACCGTGCGAGGGCCCAGGCTGAGATACCGGGTGGAGCCGACGCCTCGGGAAATGGATAACGTGGGGGTGGACGTGCTTTGTCGGTAGGCCCCTGGTAATTAGGGATGGCGCCACCCTGCCAGGACAGCAAATCCTCCTCGGATGCCCCCCCACAAGCTTTCCTTTTTTCTCCCCTGGACCTTTCCCTCTATGGGCAGTGAACCTCATCTCTCCTCCTCCTCCTCCTCCTCCTCCTCCTCCTCCTCCTCCTACTATCCTTATTCCTTATTAGAATATACTCCTACTCCCCCCTCAGGCCGGCAGATAGCGGGCGCATCCGGGTGGGCCCATCCTAACCTGTAAAAAACAATACAAACTCAACATTTTTCTTATTTTTTCCTCTCGACATGGACGTCCTGTCGTCCACGGCGATAATCCATTGCAAAAAATACCACTAAGAGCACACGCGCGCGTTCATGTCAGAATCCTACCGAACACCGTGTGTTTGCAAGCATCTCAACATAAAAACATCAAACACCCAATGCTTTTTCACAAAAGATTGTACAAATTTCCCGCCCGGGCTCTCTTGCTGAAATCATAGGAAAACCATAGGAATCTTAAGAATTCTGTCAAATCCAGCGATTTCACGTCATCGCGCGGTGCACTCGCGATGCTCTGTCATGCACCCAGGCCGCGAATCCTGTGCAAAAAATATTACAAAGAGCACACTCGCGCGTTCATGTCAGAATCCTACCGAACACCGTGTGTTTGCAAGCATTTCAACATAAAAACATCAAAAACCCAATGCTTTTTCACAAAAATGCTTTGGGGTGTCCTGTCAGACCGTCGGGCTTCCTCCGGCCACCTCTGGCTTCCTGCGGTGTACCGGGCCATTCTCGACTCGTCTGGCAATGCGTGCGCGGCATTCAACACGCGCTCGCCAGTTCCCGTCGGCAACCGCCATCGCGGCCGCATCAGCTGTACCAAACCGGCTGGCCGGTGTGACTTCGGCCCCCAGTTGTGCCAGCTTTGCTTCTTATGTTGTGGGAGGGCGGGTGGGACTGGGCATGCCATGCTTGACTCGCTCGAGCTGGCTAGCTTGACTCCTACTCCTGCTCCTCCTCCTCCTCCTCCTCCTCCTCCTCCTCTTCCTCCCCATCCCCGCCGAGAGGTCCAGACTCCCTGAGGCGGCGGTGGCCCCCACGGCCGGCGTTCGCTCTGCGGTGCTGGCGGACGAGCCCAAGAGGACGCGCGACAACCTCGGCACCCGGGCCTGTGGCGGGGGGCTAAATCGGCGGCGCGCCTTGGGGGGGGAAAGGCTCGAGGTTCGAGGTTTTGAAGCATTTCGGTTCCCAGAAGTTTTCCAGCCTCGGGGTACCCTCCGGCGGCTGCGCCTCGCCGAGGGCTTTCTGGAAGTGCTCGTGTGGAGCGGCCACCGCAGGCCCGAATTATGACTCAGGGGGGAAGGCAGAGGGGGCGCGCCTGAAATCTTTTCCGAAATCAAAAAGAATGGTTTCTCGGAGGGTTTCCGAAACGCCCCGCCGCCTTGCGTCGCGTGGGTGGCAATGAGGGTGGCCGGAGTGGGGAGTGAAGAAAAGGGCCCTAAAGATGTGTTTTAGGCCCACTTTGGGAGCCAGCAGGATCCCTGAAGGGGTTGTGAAGGGCTCCTATAAGACCCTTTCCTTCACCCCCCCATTTAGGTCACCACCCATTACCACCCGCCCGATTATCAGAAGGCCTGCCCCTTCTCATTTCCCCTTCGGCGCGTCGCCGACATTTGGGGGGCTCTCGGTTCGGGAGCTGCTTGGGGCCTCCCCAGGCCTGGGGACAGTCAAGACACAATTCGGGCTGAAAAGTTTCATGGTCCCAGACGTCCTCGCGTCGTGAAAAGATCTGTAGATCATGTCGGAAGGGTTTCTGCTATTGTCCTCGCTGGGCCCCAGGGCCATCAGAGAGCGATCCTGGATGAGAAACCGGTCCCAGGGAATGGGTCGAGATTCTGTGGGTTCCGCAAAATAGAAAACACACGGCGTCGGGGATCTGAGGTCGGGGCTCCCAGTATCCTTCCTAGGCCCAGGCACGGTTGAAAAAACTCGTCAATGAAAAGCCGCATGGTCCTGGGAGAAGGCCTCAGAGGTCTAGCACAGAGTTTATAACTCTTTCGTTTGTTTCCTTATCATTATTACCCTTATTATTATTAGTAAGTATAGCAATAATAGTATCATTATTATTATTATTAATATGATTATTGTTATTTGTCTTTGTCTTGATCGTACATATTCATGCATATGTTCATTTATCATTATTAGCAGTATCATTGTTCTTATTGTTAGTAGTACTTTTATTATTCATGCTCTTATTATTCGGCATCGTCTGATTATTAGTTTTGTTACATTTAATATGATTGTTGGTAGTATTGATATACTTCGTCGTATATGTGTTTACTACTGTTGCTAGTAGTATCGGTATTCCTATCAATTTGGCCATTCCGATTATGATTAGTGGTAGCGTTAGTCTTGTTAGTCTTATGTGTGGTATGAATAGTATTTTCATTATTAGTGTAAGTATGCATAATATTGTACAGTATGCTTGATGCTGCTAGTATTACTATTACTATTATGATCATCCGTGCTCGATTACTGATATACTATCATTCAAATCGCTTCGTTCATTCCGCTGGCTTATCTTGCCTCGCCGTTGTCGTTTGTCGGGGTGTTGTTGTCAATGCGGTACCGTTGGGCGGCTGCCATTTTTTGGAGGCGGTGGGAACTCTTCGCCGTGCCTGGGTGGTGGGTCAGAGGCCTCATGGATATTGGTTGGGCTCTCGTGGTTGGCCTCTCCAGGGGCCTCGAGGCATCTTGGGGTCCGTGTTGGGGCCTCTTGGGGCCACTCGGGGGCCTCTTGGGGGCTTCTTGGGGTGCCTTTGCGGGGCCTCTTGGGGGCCTCTTGGGGCCTCCTGGGGGCCTCTTGGGGACTTTTCGGTTCCTGGTTCCCCTCTTGGGCTCTTCTTGGGGCCGCCTTGGTGCCCTCTTGGGCAGTCTTGGGGCCCTCTTGGGCTCTTTTGGGCCCACCTTGGAGGCGTGTTGGGCCGTCTGGGGACAATGTTGGAGGCCTCTGGGTCAGTTCTGGACGTTGTGAACTCCCAATCGTCACTCATACGAAACATATGTTTTCCGACGGGAATTGGCGATGTTTGCTTGTGGGGGCCCTCGTGGAGAGGCTCTTGAGGCTCTCTTGAAGCTTTTTCGCGGCCTCTGGGACCATCTGGAGACCATCTTGAGCGTTTTGGAACGATCTTTCGGCGAGTCGGGGCCTCTTGGGCTGTGTAGGGGGCGTCCCGACGCGCTCTTGGCGCGCTTCTGGAGCGCCCCAGGGGAGTCAGGCAGGCATCGGCCGGGGTCCCAGGGGCCGCCACGCTCGTGCGAACTAGAAATGCTGTTAACCTTTTGCAGGAGATCTTAGCACGCCCGTTGGGCCAGCGAATTCTTCTTATTTTTCTTTTTCTTCTTCTTCTTCTTCTTATTATTATAATTAGTATTGTTATTATTATTACTATTATTATTATTGCTCTACTTATGATTATTATTGTTATTCGTAGTATGGTTACGTCTATTATTATTATCATTTTTGTTATTATTACGTATTCTTATCATTCATTATTATTATTATGCTCATACTTGTCATTATCAGTATTATTACCATTCTTACTAGTATCATGAATTTCACGATTAACTGTAGTATTGTTACCATTATTACTATGATTCGTCTTCTTCGTCTTCTTCTTCTTCTTTCAGTGCGTCCCCTGCCACCCCTCTTCCCGCGCACGTGCCTCGGTCCACGATGCGCAGCCTCCCCCTGGCGCACCCGAACTCGGGGGCGCCAGGTCACCTGCGGGGGCGCGGAGACGGTCGCGCCCCGCGCGTCGCGGCTTGGGTACCCTTCCGAGGGTCCGCTTCGATCCGACCGATCCGGTTCGATAGCGATCCCTGAGCTTGGAGTCGGCTGGGGGTCGGGCCCAGCACTGGTCCAGTTCGATCCGACCGATCCGGTTCGATAGCGATCCCTGAGCTTGGAGTCGGCTGGGGTCGGGCCCAGCACTGGTTCCGGCCAGCAGGGCAGGGGAGGGGAGGGGGCTGTTTCGTCGATTTCGGGCCTCCTGGGCGCTTCTGGTCGCCACGGCTGGACGCGGCTGGAAAAAGTGGTACATGTGAGCCCCGGGAGAGGGATAGGGACAGATTTGGAGTGGATCGGGCCTCTCACCGCCCCCCCCCCCCTCTTGCCCGATTTTCTCGGGGCCCATCATTGCAGACGCCCCCCTGCCGCCTCCAACCCTGAACCCTCGATGCGATCCGATATGGCTCGATGCTTACATGGCGCTCTTCTGCATGGTGGCGCAGCCGATCCGATTCGAGTTCGATTCCGTGTCTATGCAGCCCGATCCGATGCAGCCTGGCTTGTGGCGGAAAGCTCCTTTTCTCCAAGGTGAGAGCGCGAAGATAGCCGCGCAGCTCGGGGCGCGATGCGCGAAGTTAGGTGACCCAGGGGATGAGGAAGGAGGGAGAAGAGAGAAGGATGCAGGAGGGAGAAGTGAGGGGAGGCGAGGGCGGAGGAATGAAAGGAGGAATGAGAAGAGAAGGAGAGGGATGGAAGAGGAGGAGGAGGTGGTGGCAAGGGTAGGGATCGTGTCGGAAGAGAAGGAGGAGGAGGAAAAGCAGGCGGAAGGCGGAGGAGGATTTGGATCCCCACGCAGACTGGAACTCCCCCGTACATGTCTCCGGAGCACTTCGAAGGCAGGTTCGGCGCCTCCTGCGACCTCTGGTCTTTGGGCGTCATAACTTTCGAGTGCCTCTATGGAAGCACTCCGTGGCAGATCGACATGCGAGACCAGGACTGGCTGAAGAAGCTGAGGCGTGCAGTCCAAGATTTCCAGAGAATCCTGGAGATCAAGCTGGCCCGCGGCAAGATGCGCGGGTGGATCACCCCGGAGGCGACGACGACGACGACGACGACAACGACGACGACGACGACCGACGCCGACGACGACGACGCCGACGCCGACGCCCGACGCCCGACGCCTGACGCCCGACGCCCGATATCCGACGACCGACGCACGACGCCCGACGCCCGACGCCCAACGACGACGACGACGACGACGACGACGACGACGGCGGCGACGACGACGACGACGACGACGACGACGACGACGAGAGGCAGAGCACCTGCTTCGCGGCGTCCTCTGCGAGCACAGCACGCGCCTGACCGCCGAGGGCATCCGCGCGGAGCCCTTCTTCCAGGCCTGGCGTCGCTCGGACGTATGCATTTTTCTTCGGCAAGGGCCATCAATCGGCGGCGCGCGGGGGGGGGAAGTGAGAAGGAGCAGGCCTTCTGAGCCTTGTGAGAACTCGCGCTCCCTCTGACTTCCCTCCTGGGCGCACCGCCGAATCGAGGAGCATCTTGGCCCATCTGGCGAAAAAAAAAAACGCACGAGACCGAAAAATGCACGGGCAATGGACGTCTGAGCGATGGCGAGAGCGGCATGGACATTAATTTTGGACGCTCCGTGCAGATTTCTTGGATCGGCTTCTGGGACCCCCCGGCGGCGCCTCTGGCGCCGCCCCTGGCGCGCTCCGCGCGCTGGGGAGAGGTTCTAGCGCGGATCCAAGAAATCCGCGCGGAATCCCTCTACCAGGGCCTCGACTTCTCGACGCTCCACCTGATGGAGCCGCTGATCCGGCCCGAGCTGGAGCTCACAGGCCCGGAGGATTGCCGCCACTTCTGTCCAGATGGGGGCCCCGCCGTGTTGCCGCCGCCGGAGCACGGCGCCAGAAAGGCACTCAGCGACTCGAAAGGGTCACCCTTCGCCAGAGTAACCTTTGGCGGGGGCTCACGTCCCCCGAGTATTGGCTTGCGCGCTCGGAATTGGGCCCCCCCGCGGCCGCCTTTGACCGCGCGCCAGAGGTCACTCTTGCCTAGGGTCACTCTTGCGTGTAGCCGAAAGGACGAGGACATGTATTGGTCCCACTACGAGTTCGACAGGAGCGAGCTCGATCTGCAGCGCCCTGACGCGGTTCGCGACCTCTTCTCCCCAGCGGCCGCTTGTGGAAGCTTGGCCATCTGACCTTGAGGTCGCAAATCTCGTCCACGCGATCTGTCTCTGCCTCCGCATCCTCCTCCTGCCTCTTCCTCTTCCTCCGCCTCCTCCTCCTCCTCCTCCTCCTTTCCTCCTCCTCCTCCTCCTTATCCTCCTCCTCCTCCTCTTGCCCTCTCCTGCCCTCGTCGTCGTCCTTGTCCTTATCTCCGTCCGCCCTCCTTCTCCTCCTCCTCCTCCTCCTCCTCCTCCCACGTGGCAGAACATGGTGCTTGGACAAAACCATGGGACTTCTGGGAAGCTGTCCAGCAATTCCATCGTTGTGATCTAGTTGCCTTGCCCCCGAGTGGCACACCATGGTGGTGGTGCACCAGGCCTCTGGCCTCACCAACGGGGTGAAGGCGCTCCAAAGAAATATAATTTCAAGCTCCTCCTCCTCCTGCTCCTGCTCCTGCTGCTGGTCCTTCTCCTCCTCCTCCTCATCCTCCTCCTCCTCCTCCTCCTGGAGTCGGGCTCTGCGCTTCGTGATTCATTGGCTTATGCCGCACCGCCGACCCCTTGGGGTGGCAGCAAGAGTGAAAGACGAAGTTCGCGGAACGCGCGCGATCACTGGGCAATCTTGGGGGTTCGGCCTGTCTTACGTAGCGTGTGGGGTTCAAGGGGGGCCTTGTAGGTTATTGATTTGAAGTTTTTAGTGGTCTCATGTGGGTTTCTTGGGGCCTTCTCGGGGGCCTGTCCCAGGCCTCCATTTCCACCCCCTGGATAGGCTCGGGGATCGTTGAGACCCAACTGGGGGTGCGTCCGGCCAGAAGTTCGAGAGTGGACCCAGCTGTGTCGATTTGTGTCGATGAGGAGCTTCCTGAAGGACCAGAGGGGGCGGAGAGCGCCCAAGAACTAGGAGTCTCATGCCTCGAGCCTCGATCCACCCCGTGTTCCTTCCTTTGCGAAGGGGTGGCACCGGCCAGTCGATCCTCATCCCGGACCCTCGGTTGTGGTCCTGGGCACCGAAAACGGTTCCTGGAGGCTGAATTCGAGGAGATACCTCGGGCGGTCGAAAGACCGCGAACATCTGTGAGACATCGGCGGCTACGACGAAATCTTCTTTCTTTTTGTTCGTCTTCCTCCTCCTCCTCCTCTTCCTCCTCCTCGTCGTTATCCCTTTCTTATTCTTCTTGTTATGTTTCTTTGTCTTCTTTTTCTTCTTCTTCTTACCCTTCTTCCTTTTTAATCGAGGTACATTCCCGCGGCAATTCCGGCCGCCTTTCCAGATGTTTGTGTTTAAACAGCTTTTGTTTTTGACAGGTTTTGGTCTCCGAGGGCCGCTGCTGGGCCCCAGGATTTTCTAAGCCGGACGTACCTGGGGCGAGAAACTGCATCGGCGGATCCGGGGAGAGGTTCGGGGAACGGACTCGGGAGGAGCGTTGTGGTTGGGGGGGGTCCGGGCCCCTCCCCTTTCGCCGCGGCTGGATGCATTTGCGAGAACGATTGCGATTGGATTCCGGGGAGGGCCCAGGTGGCCAGTGGCGAATGATTTTTGCGTGGGGAAAGGAGAAGAGTTTGTCATGCAGAGTCTTAGTCTTTTCATTTTTTATGGTTTTCGTCGTCGAAGGGCCGCCTCCAGGCCCCGGGGTCATTCGGGGGCAGTGTGGATCCCCGTCAAGGCCTCTTGGGCGCCTTTGGCGCCCTTTGATATTTTCTCGGGGCGAAGTGCTCGAATTCTCCATTCGGGTTTCCCTTCTTACCCTCTTGGGGCAGTCCAGGGGCTTTCCCCAGTGGCTTCGGGGGCCCAATTGGGGCCCGTCTGTGCCGTCTGGGAGCCTCCTCGTGGGCATGCGGGGGCCTTTGGGCTGATTTGGGGTGCTTTCTGGGCTGCTGTGGGAGTCGTGAAGCTCAAGAAGCGAATGTGTTAAACTTAGACGTTTTCGTTCGGGAAGGGGCCGAGGTTTGGTTATGCCGGGAATCTTGGGACGCGTCCTGGTGGCGTGTTGGGGCGTCTGGGGGGTCCCAGGGGTCAGCTGGAGGCAACGGCGGGCGTCTGGGAGCGATCTCCTCACGAGTCGTAAGTCGCGCTCTGGAGCCGTCGGGGGAGCCTTGTAGGAACCATTCGGGGACTTTTTTGAGGCCATCCTGGGTCGGTTTGGTGGCTTCTGGGGCCTCCTGGCGCCGATTTGGGCTGTCTTTGAGTTTTGTTGGAAGCTTTTTGGAATCGTATTGGGTCGATCTGGAAGGCTTCTTGGGCTGTTGTGGGCCTCGTGAAAGCCGAAAAGGCGAACGTGCTGGAAATGCATGCTGTCCTAATATGAAGCGCTTTTTGCTTTTGGTAAGCCTGGGACGTCTCCGGGCGGTTTCTTGGGCCGTCTTGGGGGGCCTGTGGGACCATTGGGAGGCAATCTGTAACGTATTGGAGCGATCTCTCGACGACTCGTAGCCTTCGTGGGCCGTCCAGGAGGGGCCCTCCTGAGGCCGTCCTGCGGTTTTCTTGGGCCGGTGCGGTTGTTTCTGGGGCCTTCGCGGGGCCCTCGCTGGCCGTCTTGGAACTTTTTGGGGGGCCTCTTGGGTTATCTGGGGTCGCTCTTGGAGGCTTCTTGGGCCGTCGTGGGCCTCGTGAAAGGCCCAGAGGCGAGTGTGTTTAAAATATACGTTTTGTCCGTAGGAAATGGGAACATTTTTGGTTCTGGAGGGCGCCTTGGTGGCTTTTTGGGGCGTCTTGGGGGCTTTGGGGGCCGTCTGGAGGCAATCTTCGGCGTTGTGGAACGATCCCTCATCGACTCGTAGCTTTCTAGAAACGTTCCGGGAGCCTTTGGGACCTTTTTGGCTCGTTTTGGGAGCCCTCTTGGAGGCATATGGGGTTTCCTTGAATTGTTTTGGGAGTTTCTTGGGTTGCTGTGGGCCTCGTGAAAGGCCAAGAAGCGAATGTGCTAAACTTGGCGCTTCCATTAGGGAACGGGCCGATGTTTGCTTGTGGAGGGCCTCTCGGACCGCGTCTTGGTGGCGTGGTGGGACGCGCAAAAGGGGTCCCAGGGGCCGCGTGAAAGGCCAAGAGGCGAACGCGTTGGAAATATGTCTTCTCCATCGAGAATGGGACGGTTGTTGCTTCTGGAAGGCTTCGTGGGGCGCCTCGAGGTAGCGTCTTGGGGCGTCTTGGGGGCCTGTAGGGCTGACGGAAGGCAATGTTGGACGATTTGGGGCATTGTTGAACGAATTGGGCCGACCAGGACGCCTTTTAAAAACCTGTTTGCCCCGTTTTGGGGCCCTGTTGGGACCGTCCTGCGGCTCTCCAGGGCCGTTGCTATGGTTTCTGGGGCCGTCGCGGGGCGCCCGCAGGCCGTCTTGGACCCCTCTTGAAAGCCTCTGGGGCTGTAGTGGGTCGATGTTGGATGCTTCTTGGGCCGTTTGTATGCCTTGTCGACAAGAGGCGAATGTGCTGAAAATAAATGTTTTCCCTCGGGAGTGGGACGACTTTTGCTTTTGGAGGCCTTCGTGAAGCGCCTCATAGTAGCTTTTTCAAACGTCTCGGGGGGGGAATCGTCTGCAGGCAAGCTGGGGCGGTTTGGACCGAATCGTCCCCCTCGTGGGCCGTCCAGAAGGCATTTGGGGACCCTCTTGGCCCGTTGTGGGGCTTTCGTGGGACCGTCCTGCGACTGTCGTGGGCCATTGCTGTGGTTTCTGAGGCCTGGTGTCGGGGGTCGACTTGGAGGTTTACTGGGCCGTTGGAGGCCTCGTGGAAGCCCAAAGGGCGAATGTACTGAAAATGCATGTTTTCCCTAGACTTTTGCTTCTGGGAGCCCTCTCGGAGCGCCTCGTGGACGCGTTTTCAAACGTCTTTGGAGCCCATGAGGCCGTCTGGAGGCAATCTTGTGCGGTTTCGACCGAATCGCCCCCCGCGTGGGCCGTTTGGGCAGCCTTTGGGGACCCTCTTGATCTGTTTTGGAGCCCTCTTGGGGCAGTCCTGCGGCTCTCCCGGGCCGTTGCTTTGGTTTCTGGAGTCTTCGCGGATCGCCTGGAAGCCGTCGTGGATGGAACCTTTTTGGGAGCCTCTTGGCTGCAGAGTGTCGATGTTGGATGCTCCTTGGGCCGTTGTAGGCCTCGTCGAAGCCCAAGACGCGAACGTGCTGAACATGTACGTCTTCCCTAGGGAATGGGACGATTTTTGCTTCTGGAGGGCCTTCGTGGAGCGCTTCGTAGTACTTGTTCAAGAGTCTTGGGGACTGACGGGGCCGTCTGGAGGCAACCTTCGGCGTGTTGGAACGATCTTCCGTCGACTCGTAGCTCTCTTGGACCGTTCCGGGACCCTTTCGAACCTTTCTGGCCCGTTTGGGGCTTCCGGAGGCTCCAAGTGTGCGGCCCGAACCTTTGTTTCCCCCCCCCACCTCCGCCATCCAAACCGGCCGGACCGTGCCCCCGGGGGAGGGGTTTGGAAAGGGGGAAGCGTCTCACACGCCGTGACCCCAAGGGGTCGGCGGATTCGAATAAGTATTATGATAACATGTATCATGATAAGCTGCGGGCTGAGGCCGCCCATGCGGGATTTCCTGACATTCTATTTCGGCGCTTTGCTGCGGGCCGTCCTCCATGGCTGCACAAGCAGGCCTCTGGAGGCCAACGGGACGGTCATCGCGGAGTGTTCGTGCGCCACATCTCTCACGATGCTGATGCTCCAGGCGTTCCTCAGGAGGGCCGATGCAGTTGCGCCCATACTTGTCTTGAAGAATGTAATCGACGATGTGTCTTTCCATGCGGCTGGCAGCATGGGCATTGTGACCCGTGAGCTCCCACAGGCTTTCAACATTGTGGCTGACGGTGTAGTGGCTAAATGGCTTCCGATCTCCTGGGGAAAAGCGGGTTTCCTGGCCAGTTCCGCCGAGATCGCGGTCCAGCTGTGTGCCTCCTGGAATATTGAGTTGAAGGATCGGGCCCATTTCCACAACAATTTAGGTGGCGACGCCATTGACGGCAAGTTTCGTTGAGAACGGACCCATCTCGACAGGTTTCTCAATTCTCAGCGTCGTGCGTTACGCCTCCGCATTCTG